CCCAGATTAGTAGGTCGACCCTGCCAGATCAAGGGTACCGTTGTGTCCTGTGTCTCGCGACCCGTGCCTCCTGCATTCCTATGGCAGTGTGACCCTCGGAAGGGTCTTGTGTCCTCTCAGGTGTCCTGTCCAATAAAGTCCGACTGTAGTCCTCTTCCCATATTCTTGCAAGCCCAGGGGGGGGGACCCCCTCGCCCCAGCACCGCAGATCCCTGGCCCTGGGGGCCCCCCCTGTGCGCCCCTGCAGGAGGCCCCCCGGGCCAATCCGGAGCTCCTGGACGCCACTGCTGGGCCTAGGCAACGGGCACGCATCGGTGAGGAGGGCGGCCGAACGGCCCCCCGAGGGCCCCAAGAGGCCCCATGCACCCAGCATACGCCCGAAGGCGATCCAAAGAAGACCCCCAAGTGGCTTTCGACGCGCAGAAGAACATAGATTTCCAATTGTTTTTGCATGAAGTTGGGAATGCTCTGTTCTTCGGTCTTCGGGCGTCCGAGACCGCCCAGGAGGTCCGAAAATCTACCCAAAACTATCCGAAAGGGCTTCCAGGCAGTCAGATGGCCCGAAGAGAGCCAGATGACGACCCAAGCTGACCCCTAAGACGCCCCCCGAAGCATTCCAAATCGTGACCAGGTGGTTCAGGGAGACCGCGGTTGGAAGCAGGATGGTCCGAGGAAGCCCCCAGAGGCCCCAGAAGGTGCCCAGGAGGCCTCCAGAAGGCCCCAAGAAGCCCTTCAAAAGTTTCGTGAGGCCCCCAAAAGACTCTTCAAGGAGGATCCTCCGCAAACAGAGCTGAGGAGGATGGTGAAGAATTCGCAGGATATGGCAAGAAGGGGGAAGAAACATTATCATAACGTCGATGTCGGAAAAAACAACATAGCGTTATCGCTAAATTGTCTGTTCTACGGTCCTGCCCTTCCGCCTGCATGCCAAACTTCAAGTACCAAGGTGCATGGCGCGAAGCGCGCAGTCTTGTGTGTGTATATATATATATAAAGATATAAATCTGTATGCACCGTTCACCTTTACCACGCGGTCTCCATTGTTGAGGGCCTTGCTCTGAGTGGTCTTCGTTCCACCGCTGGACTGGGCGGCCGGTGATCTGGTGCATCTGCAGCGCCTCTCCGTGTAGGGGGTCACAGGCACCTCCCATCTTGACGCCGAGGGCCGGAGCGATCCTCGCCGCCAGGGCGTCCGGGCGCGAAAACGGCGCTCCTCCTCCTCCACCTCCCCCTCCTCCTCCTCCTCCTCCTCCTCCTCCTCCTCCTCCTCCTCCTCCTCCTCCTCCTCCCCTTTCCTCACTTCGCACTGCTCATTACTCACTCCTCACTCCTCCTCCTCCTCCTCCTCCTCCTCCTCCTTCCCATTCCTCACTTCTCGCTCCTCGCTCGTCACTCCTCCTCCTCCTCCTCCTCCTCCTCCTTCTCCTTCCCTCCTCCTCCATCCCTTTTCCTCGTAAGCGACTCCTCCGTGTCGCGCGCCCAGACGTGTCGGTAGGTCGGGCCTGGCTTGTCGATTGAATTTTCCTCACCACATATGTTCCTGAAGCTTGAAGTTTGCAACAGCTTCAAGGATCGAGGGCGGCTGGTTTTCAAACTGTGGCTCTCGCCTCAGCGCCGCGCACATTCGTTTGAAAGGTTCCTTTCAGTTTCGAGGATGCAGGACCGACGGTTTTCAAACTGTGGCTCTCGCCTCAGCGCCGCGCACATTCGTCTTAATGTTTGCAGCAGTTTTTGAAGGATGGAGGGCTGTTCGTTTTCAAAATGTAGCGCTCAACATGTCGTCGCGCACGCTCGTTGTAAACATTCGCAGCAGCTTCGAGAATGAAGGGTGGCTCGTTTTGAAAATGGGACTCTCGCCTTGACGCTGCGCGCATTCGTCTTGAAACCTGGCAGCGGTTTCAGGGTTTCATATGGTTGAAGTCCCAGGAGTGGTGTTCTGACACAGTTTAGGATCGTGAGGACGCAGCAGTCAATTTGATTCGCGGTGTGAAGTCACCAGAATGGTGTTCTGGCACGTTTTTAGGATTGTCAGGGCGCAACAGTAAATTTGATTCGCGGCGCTAAAGTACCATGAATGGCGTTTTGGCACGATTGGGGATTCTCAGACGGATGTCTTCCAATGAGGCACTCCCCGAACATCAATTCTTGTAGGGACCTTTGTAGAAGGGAACTTCGAGTGAGGGTTGTTTGTTACATCGTTGGTGCATCTTGGGTTTGCTCTGGTCCTCCTCCTGTTCCTACTCCTCCCCACGCCTCACTCCTCAGTCCTCATTCCTCACTTCTCCTCTTCCTCCTCCTCCTCCTCTTCCTCCTCCTCCTCCTCCTCCTCCTCCTCCCTCCTCCTCCTCCTCCTCCTCCTCCTCCTCCTCCTCCTCCTCCTCCTCCTCCCTCCGATCGATATCCCGCGCCCACGGCGCGTTCTCAGGTTCTACCGGCTGGATCCCGTGTTCGGCATCCAGGGCTCCGTCTACCGGATGGACAGCACCAGGATCATGAGCGTGTCGCGGGCTCGGCCGGGCCTCGGGCGCCTCGGGGGAAGGGCCAGAGGAGGAGGAGGAGGAGGAGGAGAAGGAGGAGGAGGAGGAGGAGGGGAGGTGGAGGAGGAGGAGGAGGAGGAGGAGGAGGAGGAGGAGGAGGAGGAGGAGAAGGATGAGGAGGAGGAGGAGGAGGAAAGCAACGGGGGGGAGGCTGATGAGGAGGAGGATGAGGAGGCCGGGTATGGTGATGACAATGATGGTGGTCGGGATGATGGTGGTGATGATGATGCTAATAATGCGGAAGCGGAGGCGGAGGCAGAGGCGGATGATTTTTTTTTTGGACCTCGACTGGGCCCACCGCTGAGTGCAACTAGCTGGCAGTGCGGGACCTGCCAGCTTGCTCCGCTAAGAACTGCCACAGCCTGCAAAACACAGACCAGAGGCACAAACGTTGCACCACATGTGACCGACCACTGCGGTGGAAAACCTGGCCAGGACACAGGGAGCCAGGAACCCAGACGAGCGCGGGCAGCTCGAAGGGCCTGAAGGGCACAGGCGAGAGCACTGCACCAGCCAAAAGGCCAGCAGCCGTGGCGCGAGTGGCCAAGCCACCTGAGCCGGAAATCGCCGCCGCAGACTCAGCGGTGGCAAAAGGGGAGAAAAGGGGAGGCAACAGCCTGCGACGTGCCCTCCTCGCGGAGGAGGAGGAGGAGGAGGAGGAGGAGGAGGAGGAGGAGGAGGAGGAGGAGGAGGAGGAGGAGGAGGAGGAGGAGGAGGAGGAGGAGGAGGAGGAGGAGGAGTAGGAGGAAAAGGAGGAGGAGGAGGGATAGGAAGGATGACTGAATCTATAGGAATGAGGAGGTGGGTAGGAGGAGGTTGAGGAGGAGGATGCGGATGCGGAGACGAGGAGACGAGATGGGGTATGAGCAGAGGGCGGACGGACGAGGAGGATCTGTGATGAGCTTTTTTTCTTGTGGGGGGTTGGACGTGAGGACGATGAGGAGGAGGAGGAGGAGGAGGAGGAGGAGGGTGAGTAGGATGAGGATGAGGAGGAGGATCAGCGTAAGCCCACGATGCGTCCTCGATGCTACACTACACCCTCCCGTCCCAAGGCCCCATCTCTTCACAAGTTCCCGCACAGTCCTTCTTTTCTGCCACAAGAGGCCCCTCCCTTGAGAGACGATCACCCCGTGGGCTTGCCATGCGCGTCCTCCGTGCGAAGGCTGTGCAAGGCATGCGAGGAGGTATGCTCGTGCAGCTCCACGAGGTGTCCAGCGAGATGTCTGCCTGAAACACGCCACGCAGTGCCAGCTGATGCCACGCAGCGCCGGGCAGCGGCAAGCATTGCCAAGCAAAGGGAAGTGATGCCAAGAAATGCCAAGCGATGCCACGCAAAACGCCAAGCAATGCCACGCAGTGTCAAGCAATACCCAACACCGATTCCAAACATTGCCAAGCAATGCAATGCCAAGTAATGCCAAGCAATACCAAGCAATTCCGAGCGTTGATCCCAAGCATTGCCAATCAACGCCAAAGAGTGCCAAGCAGCGCGAAGCCACGCAATGCCAAACGATGCCAAGGAAAACCAAGCAATGCCAAGCGATGCCACGTTACGCCAAGGAATGCGTAGCAATGATTACAAGCAGCGCCATGCAACGCCAAGCAGTGTCAAATGATGCACAGCAGTGCACAACAGCGCCAAGTAACGCGCATACATATTGTAATTTTGCTGTGCTTAGTGCACAGGTGCCCTTCCCTTCAGGCCCACTTCCTGCCATGTGCCTCCCGCAACCATATCCTGCTCGGGCTGGCTTCCCCCCGTCTTGTTCTGACTCCCAGATCAGAATCCCGATTCTCAACCACTTCCCTCTCAACACCCTTTCCCACGCTGTACTGTGTCGTGCGCGGCTCGTGTTGCAGGCCGGGGGGCTCAGACAGTCAGCGCTGGCCTCGTGAGGAAAGAGTGCTCAGCAACCCGTGGGCTTTCAGTGGTAGCGGAGCCGGTGACGATCCACGGGCTCCCAGGCTGAGATGCCTGGAGACGATGATGGTGATGGCGACCCTGGTGATGAGGGCAGAGGCTCAGGCGGCAGAGATCGAGAGCCGCCACAAGGCTATGATGGACACCAGCCAAAGGCGAGCTACAAGCACTGGAAGAATGAGCTCGTGTTGTGGCAGGGCACGGCGGATATTCCGCGCTCGAAGTGGGGCGCGAAGCTGGCCAGACGCTTGACGGACGAAGGAGGCGATCCCGGACCTGGAGATAGACGACATCGTCGGAGAGAACGGACCGACCAACATCGTGCATTGCTCGACGAGGCGCTGGGCAGACGATGCCGAGGGCCTTCGAGAAGGCAGTGTACGCGTCGGCGCGGGAGACGGGCCAGACGATGCTGGGATATACGGTGGCGGCGGTCACGAGGCCCAATGAACTGAATAGGGAGGGTGTCCAGCTGCCGTCGGAGGCGAGAGGATACATCCATGATGCGACACGCCACGCTGGGCGACAAGGGAGAGGGCATGATCAAGACGTGGACGGCTGGGAGTTTCGCTGAGGCCGAGGTAGTCAAGGCGCTGAGGCGCCCCGACAAGGTCACGACAGACAAGCACGACCGCCAGTTCTACGGTGACAGCGAGAATGAGCAGGCCGGTCAGGAGGGCTCCCACTACCCGACCGTGGAAAACGACGACGACGACGATCCGGAGTATGTGTATGTTATGGGGGGCGACCTGTGGGAGGTGCACGAAGAGGACGACGTCGCCGCGGCTCTAGCGTCCTAAAGCGATTCGGGAGTGCTGAAGGGCCGAAAAGAACAAGCGCGGATATCACAAGGGCGGCGGCAAGGGCAACGGCAAGGGCAGGGGCAGCCATCCATCACCTCCCGTGGCTCGCTTCAGGAACAGTAGCAGGTGCAAGGATGGGCACGGGCGCAAGGTCAGAGTCCGCATTGACGTGATCAAGCTGAGGACTCAGTGTGGGTGCTGTGGACAGGTTGGCCATTTGGCCAAGGAGTGCGTCAACCCGCCAGACGCGAGAGGCGCCGCCGCGGCTGCAGCAGCTGGCAAGCCGAAGCAAGGCTTTATTGTAGGAGCCACGAGCCTCGCTCAGCAGGACGAGGAGTCATCCGAGGGAGCGCGGCTCGAGTGCGATTGCCGGTGCGAGCATCCTCGTCCCGAGAGTCCTCTTGCAGGCTTTAGAGGACCACGTCGGGCTCATCGGCGCCATCTCCGGGGCAGTATACCAGCAGGAGCGTGGGTGTTTGGAGTATTTCCTGAGGGATCCAGCAGCCTGGGTCGAGCGGGTGCGAGAATTATTGGAATTCGGACAGGAGCGCGCTTCAGAGCGATGGGTTTCTGGAGTCTGGTGTGGACTCGCTCTTGGGGAAGGTGAAGCGTTGGTCGACGCGGCGGCCCAACCGGGTTTGATCGGGACGGAAGCCTTGCAGCAGCTCAGCCAGGCTCTCGGGCAACGCCGCCTCGAGTTCAAGTGGTTAGCTAAGCCAGCCCGAGCCCAAGTAGTGGGGGGCCGAGCGAGCAAAAGCAGTAGGTCGCGCCTTTCGGTATTGGAGGATAGCCATGGCCTCCTAGAGCTCGCTGTAATCGAGAGAATGTACCCATGCTGCTTCCGATCAAGACTCTCAGGAAGTTCAAGGCCCTTGTAGATCTCGACAGCATGGGACTTGTCCTCAGGAAAGCAGACGGCGAGGTTCCCATGAGGAAAATGGACACAGGACACGTTGCTGTATCAGTGGTAGAGTTTAGACCTGATGGATGGAGCGTGCCTCGGGGAGCCCCGTATCAGGAGTCCAGATCGGTGGCCATTTGAGTCGAGAAGGTTTGATTCGGGCTCCTTCGAGCTATGCATCCAGTGCTCCCATGTCTACGAGAAGTGCAGGAGTCTCTCGCGCGAGCTCGAACTCCTGCGAGACAGGCATGGGTCCGCCTGGCGTCGGGCTATGTGCTGCTGGCGTCAGTGCAGTTCGTCTTCCCATTGCGCTCGGGTGTGCGCTTCGGGTGGGACAGCGCGGACGAGGAGGACTTGCTGGCATCGTGGTTCCGGGGGCGCCCCCCGACAGGGCAGAGGGCGACTTCGAGTTCTCCGGGCTGGGGCACGGCCACCGAGGGCGATGCGTACTACCAAGAGTGGAAGACCGTTTGCTGCAGGTGCGCGGACACGGCGAGCACGACGAAGACCAGCTCTGTGCGATACCTGAAGGCCATAAGTGTAGGGACAAGAAGTACGCGTGCCACGAATGGGATATTATGCTTGCAAATCGGCGCCGCTGGAAGTGGATGCTGAGCTACCCGCTGAAGGAGGCGAATGGCGAGTTCGAGATGAAAGTGAAGGAGTGTCCACGCCTGGTCGAGAAGATCACGGGTACGCGTGGCGTGAAAGCAGCGATGACGCGCGTGCAGTGCGGAGGGCGGTGGTGGAAGGGGCCGAAGGCTCACTTGCTGATGGCGTTGCGCAGGACAAGGACTCTGCTGCGGCTGAAGGAGGAGCTGATGGAGAAAGTCTTCGGGCCCCCCCCAGAGGCCCGCAGTGGGGAGGGCGGCGCCGAAGCCGTCGCCCTCGCGTTCGTCGGCGCAGGCGGCCCCGGGGCCAGAGGGGCCAGGTCCGCCGCCGCTGGAGCGGGAGAAGATGCGCATGTGAAGCGGCGACCTAATGGGGCGCGAGGACTGCGGCTGGTGGTCGGGGGAGGACTAAATGAGATCAAAGACATGGCACCCGGCAGGCTCGTCAGGTGGAACCACTTGGGCACGGGGGTGGGGCCGGGGCGCGGCGGCGACGGCGCGGTCCTCATGCCCGCGGATGAGATGCTCAAGACGGCGAAGAAGCTCCAACGCGATCGAGTCCACGTGGTCGGCCGGCGATGCTGGAGGTTGAAGGATCAAGAGGTTGAGGAGGAGCTCTCGGAGGGGCCGGAAAGCCTGGGTGGCGGAGCTAGTTTGGTCAACTGGGAGGTCGAGGACACCTTTGCGTTCCTGGGCGAAGAGATGAAGGGCGTGCCCCACCGCGTGC